AGGCTGATGGCTGCCAGTACAGTGGTGGTGGTGGGAGCCTCTCTCACTTCCTCAGCAGTGCTAAGGATGTCTGACTGCAGCTTAGGCCTGCTCTCCGCTGGCAAGTGGACATCCCCTGAGGGCTGCCGGGCTGCCAGAGGGATGTCTGATTGCCAGCTTAGGCCCAATCCCCCATGAAGCAGGCCTAAGCCAGCAGGTGGTCATCCCCTGAGGGGTCCCAGACTGCGAGAGGGCACAGGCCGGGCTGAGGGACTCTCCTCCCCATCAAGTTCACAAATTTTTGTGCACCAGACCTCTAGTCTATATATATATAAACCTAAACAACTGTTAAGACCGAATGACCAGAACAAATGGTTGACCAGTCGCTATGACATGCACTGACCATCAGGGGGCAAATGCTCAATGCAGGAGCTGCCCCCTGGTGATCAGTGTGCCTCCACAGCTAACCTCCTCCTGGCCAGCTGTCCCCCCCGCAATAGGCCTCAATCGCAGCCAGGCTGAGGGACTCCAACCGTGCACAAATTCGTGCACTGGTCCTCTAGTAGGAAATACTCTAAAACCTAGCTTTGTTTTGTCATTAATTTTTCTTTCAACAAAGATCATAAAATAGTATTGGCTAAGACTTTGGAATTCAACACCACCACTTAATACTTTGCTTTGCATTTATTTTATATTAAATTAGCTTCCCGGGGTTATAGTTCAACCTTTAGATACATCATAGATAAATAACAAAGTAAATGCTTACCTTAAAGACTAGTTCTCCTACCAAGCCATTCCATGTCCCATCTTCCTGTGGGCTTCCATATTTGTGATCCGGTGCAACATAAATATCATAGTTAAATCCCAGGTAGTTAGATAAGGCATCCAAAACATCAATGGAGAAGCCCTGGTATTTCTTGGGCTTACCCAGCACATTTTCAGAGACCATTACAAAAGGTTCTTCCTGGAGGGAAATAAGAGATATCCGTGATGTCAATCTATATTGCTCCTTAAAAAGCAAAGGTTAATTCTTCTAAGAGTGTTGCTTATAGTCTAAAAATTGCTTTTGCACTTTGAGATAATTAACTTAGAAATAGAACTTGTGTGTTGTTAATATAAGTTGAGTGTTGTTAATGTAGCATATTACTAAACAATGTTTAATTACTCAATTTCTTGTCAGCTCTCATTTAATTATAGACATACCACTTAATGACAGGCATATGCTCTGAGACATATGTCCTTAACCGGTTTTGTCATTGTTCCAACATCATAAACTGTGCCTACACAAACCTCAATGGTATAGCCCAGTGGTCGGCAAACTCATTAGTCAACAAGCCAAATATCAACAGTACAATGATTGAAATTTCTTTTGCGAGCCAAATATTTAAAACTTAAATATATAGGTAGGTGCATTGTTATTAACTTAATTTGGGTACTTCTAAGCTGGCCTTTGCTAAAAACATCCTCAATCTGATTGAGGTAAGTTCACTGAGGTTGACCCCTTCCAACTCTCCCATCCTCAACTCATGCATTGAATCGTGTGCGCCTCCCCCGCGCTGCGTATCCCGTGGCCCGCCTGTGCCGCATCTCAAGTTGCCGGACTGACCGACACCCCCCAGTTCTTCTAATACCACTTCTTCAAAATAGACTCGCCCAGGCCGAAAACCCACTTCTGTGCATGGGCCACGAAGTTTCAATCGCACTGTATGTGTGCACCCGCACGTAGTATTTTGTGGAAGAGCCACACACAAGGGGCCAAAGAGCCGCATGTGGCTTGCGAGCCGCGGTTTGCCGACCACTGGTATAGCCTATTACATACCTAGGCTATATGGTACAGCCTATTGCTCCTAGGCTACAAGCCTGTATGGTATGTTACTGTACAAAACAACACAAAATTAAATCAAGCACAAGAAAAAATGATACAATCAACACACTTGGTAAATACAAGATGTATGAGGCTGCTGCAGGTATAATGTGGCATACTCTTATACAGAAAACATATTTTATATAAGTACGTGGAGTTCACTATAAAATAATAAAATGTATATTATAGTAAGTGCATAAACAAGTAACATAGTCATTTATTATTATCAAGTATTATATACTGTACATAGTTGTATGTGCTATACTCTTATATACCTGTCAGTAAAGTTTTATAACCTGTAATAGAAAAGAAATTTGTTCCTTTTCTAAGGCAACAATTCTAAGCTTGGTTTAATCATTTTCATCTGTGCACCTATTTCCAAGTTTGTTCATTCATTGACTCATCTGTTTCACATGCACTGAGCAGCTACTCAACATGGTGAGAGACATGGCAAAAACTCATGAGCACCACTTTCAGAATAATTTTAACCTAGCAATAGGAAAAGTCATGGACTCAAAAAATATAAAGCAAAGCAAAAGCAATGTACAACATAACTGGGACAAACAAAACACCAGAGGAAGAAAATAGACTCTAAAAGAAAAGGAAAATCACCATTTTGGGTTAACCCACTTTGTGCTATTTTAACAGATAAGAAAAATCAGAAACAAAAGTTTCAACTCAAGGTCACACAACACATTACAGAAGAGGAAGGCATCATAATTACTTACTTCAACTTTCCTGTGACCTTGAATTTTTCAACCTATGAATTAAAATCTAGGATAAGGATAACATAATTTGTCTCAGATTTTAATGCAATTTAAGTTGACATGAGACTTGTAGAGACTCCAGATGCATGACAAAATAAAACACAATCCTCTCTGGAAGAAAGTATCTTCATTTTAGATCATGCTTTATTCCCTTAAAATTTCAGGGGTAGGGAACCATTTTTCTGCCAAGGGCCATTTGGATATTTATAGCATCATCTGTGGGCCCTACAAAATTATCAACTTAAAAATTAGTCTGCTATATGTGTTCAAACTTTTAATTAACTCAACTCTAATGCCTTGGCAGGATCAGACCAAGTTATTTTGTGGGCCTTATATGGCCCTCGGGCCAGAAATCCCCCACCCCTGCTTTAAATAGTTGTTCAAAACAAAAGTCCAAGATATCATATAAAAGGAGGTTGCACTTCATATAGAGAACCAGCAGAAATAATATCCAACAGAAATAGAACTTTGAGAACTCAGACACTAAATTTTCAGATGCATATTATAAACATGCTTATTATGTTTAAAGGGGATTTTGCAATTGACAAGAAATTGGATTATAGAATATGTCAATGGAGAATTTAGAAAGGACTAAATAGAAATTTAAGAATTAGAAAAGATCATGATCACAGTTAACAACTTAATGACTGAGTTTATCAGCAGATTAGAAACAGGTGGAGAAACAATTAGTGACCTTTTATAGTTCAGAGTTAAAACCTGAGGTACAAGAGGATAAACAAATAGATATTCCCAAAGAAAGAGTCAAGAGCTGAAAAGCAGAATGAGAGGGAGTCTGATAATTAAGGATGTGGAGAGAAACATACACAAGGAAACATAGCTAAAGTGGTAATGAGAATATTCTATTTTTTATTCTGGACAGTGATTAAGTGGACTTTACTTATTATTCATTGATAAACGGTTTAAGCTTTTCTTTCTGTATGGCTTTTATATTGTAACTAGAGGCCCGGTGCATGGGATTTGTGCACTGGTGGGGGTTGGGGGTGTGTGGCCTGCAGAGATCTACCTGCTGTGGTAGCACCGTTCATCCCAGGCAGCTGAGTGGCTGCAGACCAGCCCTCTGAGCGGCTGCTCCCTGGTTCTGCATCTTCTGTGGAGCCAGATCACTTGCCTCTCCAGGGGATCTGATCAGGGCTGGGCCCAGGGACAATAGTACTGAGAAACGGTGGAGTAAGCCTCAGTTCTGTAGTGACCACAAACCTCTGGGGTCAGCTCTGTGAGCCTGGTGGTGGCGCTGCCAGCCTGCAGGCATCTGGAGGAGGCAGCAGGGAGCAAGAAGGAGGAGGAGCCTGGGGCTCATCCCAGTCAGCCAAGCAGTGCTCCCACTGTGGTAGTGCACTGACTACCAGGGGGCAGCTCCTGTAAGTAGCGTCTGCCGCCTGGTGGTCAGTGCACATCATAGCGACTGGTCGACCTGTTGTTCTGGTCATTCTGCCGTTTGGTCGCTGGGCTTTTATTATATAGGATATAAACAAAAATAATTTAAAAAGTATCCTAATTGGAATGGATAATGGAGGGCATTGAAGCCATATGAGAGTTTCTGTAGTATATGACAGGGAAGTGGAGCACTATAAAAGGGAAATAGCATAATTAGAAAGTAATTCTGAGAGCTGAGTATAGAATGAATTACAGCAGAATCAAGGACTAGGGGGCCTTTGCAAACACACAGTTGACAGGAGATTATATTCAACATATATTTTCAAAGTGTATGTAGATGGCTTTGAGTCTTCCATTATTGGAACAAAGAAAGGAAAAGAAAATAATAAAAGAAAATAATAAAATTCATTTTCTGGTAATTAGTTTCCAAGAATAATCATAAGACTGAGTCTAAGCTGGTGAAAACCTGCCTACTATTAAATGAAAACAAGTGGCATATTTCGATTTGCTTATCATTTGGATGACAAATTCTCTGAGCACAATCCTCAGCAACTGGAATAAATGGAGCTTTCACAGAATGCCTGTAGTTTATCAATCGAAGTGCATTAGCATGAGGATGCACAGACCTGCTTGTAGAAGAGAGCATTTCAGTGGTTGATAATTTTCGTATTATCATAGATTTATTCACATCACTTGTTGGGTTATTAGATAATAACTTCATAATTCAGAATTTGTACTCAGTCATTTAAAAAATCTCATGCTAATTGCTTAGTGATTTACAACACTCTTTGCAACTTTCAGATTTTTTAGTTAGTTCTCATATTTTAATAACTGTGTAATACTAGAGGCCCAGTGAACAAAATTTGCGCATGGGTAGGGTCCCTAGCAGCTGCTGGCTGCCAGCCGGGGCCTTCCTTTATTCCACGTCACCCTCTGGTGTTGAGTGCATGTCATAGCAAGAGATCAGACTCCCAGTCTCCCGGTCAAACTCCTGAGGGGACACTTTGCATATTAGGCTTTTATATATATAGATTGCGTGCTAGTGAGAGAGCTTGAA